TTCCTTTAAAGGAACAGGTTTTCTGTGGGTTTTTTTTTTTTGCATGAGGCTGGTGCTCCCCTCGCTCCTCATGGGTGTTTTTTTTTTTTTTAATTTTCTGGAAAGCAACTGAGTTGATTTACTTGGATTTATTTCCCTCCCACTCGGAAAACTCTTCCCCCTTTTGCTGTGACACCAAGTCCTGAACTGTTGACAGTATTTTTCAACCTGATTTCTTCCAGTACCTGGTGATTGACCTCACTGGATGTACCTGTCACCTCCTTTCCTAGTCACCAATTATCTCCCCTTGGGGACACCCTCCTGTAGGCTCAGAAAACTCCTGGGAATTCCCAGGTGGGGTTGCTCCAGTCTTCCATCCCATGAGCAAAATGCACCTGCAAAATATCCTGGCTGCTGATATTAATTGAACATCTGCACAAGGGGAAGAAACAGCTCTGGGTGAGCCTCAACCCCCCGAAGGGGTGAAATAGGTGAATTTTAGGGGAAAAACCCGTGTTGTGGCTGGTTTTGGAGCAGGTTTTGGTTTGGTTTGGTACAACTGGTTCTCTGTATTGAAGCCTGTTCTCTTCTCATATTGAAGCCTATTCTCTGCCATCACCACTGTCTTGAAAAGGAGTGAAGAACATGCTTTTATAGAGTTATTTTTTTAATGTTTATAGAACTGGGTGCAGTGGTGAGTGGGAATAAATCTCCAGCCTCTACCAACCGCCTCCCTCTCTGTGTCTGCGGCAGCCTGACCCCAAACCCCTTCCCTGAGCCCTGGGATCAGGGAGAAATCCCTACATTTTTAGTTCCTAACAGCAGCCACGTGTTGTCCTGCTTCTCTCCGAGGCGTTAACCAGCACTCCCATGTCCGTCCCAGGCGATCCAGCTTCTCCCAGGGAGCCAAATCCAGGCCATGGGAAAGGGGTGATGTGTCCTCCCTCCTCAGGCTCCACGTAAACACCCCTGTGTGGTGTTTTAACAAAGCCCTGGTGTCAGACTTTCCCTTCCCAACCTGCTCCCTCCCTTTGGATCCCTCCAGCCACGGAGACTCCTCCGTGTGCTCCGACTTCCCTGGAGAAAAGGAAACAACTGCTGGGATTGAGGGTCTGGCCTGGCTGGATAAATCTCCCCTGCAACAATGGGACCTTTGGCTCCTGCTCAGGGTTGAGTCCTCCAAGTGCTCCTTATCTCCCAGCCAAACTCTGGGGTCAGGTGATGGAGCTCGTTAAGTTCTGCATTTGTTTAATTACACCACAGGCTTTAGCAGCATTCCCTGCCTGCCTCCCCCTTCCTTTTTCCACCTCTGCAGGAATATTTTTGTCCCCAGCTGTGCCACGGCCCCTGTGAGGACAATGGGATGGAAGGTGGTTCTGGGGGGGAGCGTCGCACTCCGATTTTGGGCTTTTTTTGCCCCAAAAATGGGTGTCTGGGGCCGTCACGTGTTCCAGCCCCTGCCCCGTGGCAGCACAGGGAGGCTGAAAAAATTACAAAGAACTAAAACAAAACAGGGAGGAGCAAGATAAAAGCAACGAGCAGAGAGAGGAGGGGAAAAAAAAGGTCTGAGCCTCGCTGGCGGCGTGGGTGGGTGAACGGCCTGGCAGGGCTGGAAAGACCCAGCAAAGGCCACCCTGGAAACCCTCCCTGCTGCCTTCCCGGGATATTTTGGTGGCAGTTGAGCTGGTGGCAGCTCCAGCAGCCACGGGGATGTGTCTCTGGCTGCCCCAGAGTGACTCATAACTTCTGTGCCTCGCCAGGGAGGCAGCACAGGAATAGTTACACACCAGCGACGCGGAGGGAGTGGCTGCCGAAATATTTCAGGGCTGTGCTAAGCAACTAAAAATACACGTCAAACCCTCCTCCTCCTCCTCCTCCTTTTTCCTTTTTAAATCTGTTTTCTTTCTCTCTTTCTGGTGTGATGTTTTTTGTTGGGGGTTTTTTTTTTTTTGGTTTTTTTTTTTTTTTTTGTTTGTTTTTTTTTAATTCTTGGTTTTGATTGTCAGAGGCCCCTGTGGGCC